TGTAGAACAGACTTATCTTTTTTTTTTCCAGCTTAAGTGACAAAAATTCTTCTGATTTCTATAGCTCATTCATTTTCTTCTAAGGGAATAGCTGCATTTTAACAGTCATTTATCTTTCTAATGTTGGTACTCATGGGACATAGGGTAAAATTTTCTTAGCTAATAGGAGCATGTGGAGCAAGGGATATATACTCATCAATTTTAAAAAAAATGTCTGGAACATCTGAACTGGATCTGTATAGGAGGAGGAGAGTTATCACAGGCTAACTCTTTACTTTCTAAGGAAATATATAATGTGGAGCTCAAAAAACCCCCTTGTCCACAATCCAAGTCCTGGTGATTTCACAAAGTTATCCACGTAGTTTTCTTGGCAAGTATATGGAAATGGGTGTCAGTGCTGCCTCATGAGCTGGTTTTAGACTAACCTACAGCAGTGGTGATCTCCCATTCAGGTAGTAACCAGGTCTGATCCTGCTTAGCTTTTTGAGGTTAGCCATTCCGCTTATATTCTGCAAGTGCTTATAAATATTATATACAGGAGTCCTTGAGTTACAATTGTAATTGAGCTCCACAATTATGGTCCTGAGTCGTGACAGTCATAAAGCAAGTCATCTCACCACAGACTCAATTTTACAAAAAAATTTTTTTGCAGAGGTTGTTAAGCAAACATGGCAATCATTAAGCAAATGTTTGCTATGGGTGGATTTTTCCGGAAGTCAAAACTAAATGCCAAAACATGACAAAAACATCATAAATTGTGATTATATGACCACGATTTGCTGCAAATGGCTATAAATGCCGGTCATAAATTGAGGACCACCTGATATGTACTGTATTCCAGAATGCTGAACATATATGCATACATACATTTGTTTGCACTGGAGCAATTAAGTATGAAAAGCTCTCATTCAGGTAGGAAAAATATTTCTATTTTCTCCAGCTGATGCTGTTTAGGTATGCTGCTGTTACAAGTCCCATTATTCTCAGGAACATAGCCATCCCAGCTATGTTGGTTTGAAATTCTGGAGTCAACAAATCTGCAAGGCAACAGGTTGGGAAAAGTTGGCTTAACTTTGACAGCATGGCTGAAAGTAGCTCCTGGAAGAGGAATTCTTTTGCATTTTCCCGCTGCCAGTTCTCATACAATTTGATGAATTGCTTTAGAAAGGAGAAGAGTATTTTAGACAAATTCCTGTGGGCAGAATGTGGTCTACTTGCACCTATTTAGTTAAGAAGTGGTCAAAGGGTGTGTCTTGGATGATATAATTATCTCTCCAGCAGTCTACAGCCTTTCTGACTTCCTAGGCTTCAATTATATCCCAAGGAAAGACCTCATGAGGAAACTCCTCTCATGGGCCTTTTTCTCAGTAGTGGTGCTGCTCTCGTGGCTATGGAAGAGGCTGCCCATGAGAAATTGTTGAAGAATATATTCAGCCAATGGAAACTTTTAGAGCAATCACCCATCCGATTCACAGTTCTGGCATGGCAGAAGAACTGAAAAGAATCAACCAAACCTCAGCCAGCACTAGATAATTTGAGATCCTAGAATGGAACTTGTTTCTTCCTTTTCACTCTAGATAACCACTTCTGTCATTTCTTCTGCCAGAATGATCCAGCACTTCCTCTTTTCCCTCTTCTCTTCCCAGTGGATAAAATATTTTCTCTATCATTTTCTCTATCTTTCTTCTCCCAGCCCAGTTGGGATGAAGGAGCACATGGTTTCTGATATCCACTACCATCATAACTTTGTCCACTTTTGATTTCTCACAGGTGTCAAACTTGCATCGTCACATTGCCGTCACATGATGTTTCATGACATTTTTCCCCTTCACGGAGCTGCGGTGGATGTTTCCTGTGTGTGACACATCTGGGCCACTGGCCGCCAGTTTAACACCCCTGCGGACAGAACAATGACATGATGACCAGATGTCACACAGCCATGCTTCCATACACAGTATTCATTGGTGTTGAAACTGTTGGGAAGAGTGGAGAGAGCACTCCATTCCAATATTTCTTGTAAGCTCAGGACTTGTCACTAAGAAGTGACAATAATAAAAGGAAGAAACCAGCAAAAGCAATAATAACAAATGTTAGAAGATAGTGAAGAGGCAAAGCTTTGGTTTCTTAAAAATGCTGACTTCTAATGCTTAACACAGGTTGGCCAGCCTAACACCATCTTGCACACATCTTTAGGTTAAATCAGCATTGGTGCAGTGAAAGAGTCCACTTGGATGGCAACTTATCCTAATGTTTTAAGTAAGACTGATGTATTTTGCTCAGACATTGATTAACAAGTACCATATTGCTAAATAATCACCAAGTCCATGAATGGACTCTAGGGATATTATCTGTGCAATGGGAGCTGGTGGAATGTTTGGCCATTGATGAGCTATGATGATGGTTGCTGACCTTTTCATCCAGGCACAACAAAAACCTTCCACCTAACCGAGCAATGGATAAGCAAGCTGGACAAATTGTGGAATCTATCTCCCTTGAAATATGCCAGGCAGGTTAGTGAAATAGTTTTCTGACATAATGGAGTAGGCATCTCTTCTCAACTTCTCGGATCTGTTCTAACTTACTTTACTCTGATTCTGCGAGAACAGTGTTATACTACAGTCTGGATGCCCTGGGAGTACAGAATTTTGAATTCTTCTATTTATCTGAATGAGGTATGATTGATGGCGGATTCTGTTAAGTGAGTCCAATTAGCCTCTGGCATTCTGTTTTGAATACTGATGTATTAGTGTTACAATACAGCCTCCATATTGTCATCATCATAGATGTGTTAAGACTCAATGTCCTTCCAGATTTTCAGCCTTCAACCTGAGCACGTAATAAAGCTTTATTCCCAAGTATTTTAGCTGCTCCAGACAAGAATATCAGCATTCTGCTCAGCCAATTGGAACAAAAGATCATGTGTGGCTAACTCTGTAGCCAATGCTCAGTCCAGATGTTCTTCCTAAATAATATATTGATGTGAGCAGACAACTAGGGGAAAAAAAGGTTTCTAGTCTGTGGTCAAACTCAAAATGACTTTTTGGTGTCCGGAGCTGGAAGCCTGCCTTGGACAATAAAAAGGAGCAGAAGAATCTTGAGGAACAAGTAGGCACTAATTGCACAAAGATGTTTGCTTTTATACTTTAGTCTCTCACAGAAGAACATGGCATTTCCTTTCAGAACTCTCCAAACTGTTTTCAGGGCATAATTATAGACCTATCATTCTACATGCAAAAGGACATGTTTATATAGATGTGCATGTCTGCAGCCAAATAAACCTATAAGGAAAGTTTATGAATGAAGCGGTTCACACACTTTTAACAGAACGCTGGCCCATTGCTACAGCAAGGGATACACTTCTTTGTAGTACAGAATCTCCATTTATGGAAACAGGCAAGTGCTGTGATATAGATTTATAGCGCATTAAGGTCAGTATAGATATCAATTAAGTTCCAAGCAGGCAGGCTCTTGTCTCAAGGATTAAGTTTACTTTTCCACATCCTGTTAAGCCATAGTTTAGTTAACAAGGAAATGGTTGGATTGCTAAGATTCATTCATGGTTTTCAAACTGCAGTAGCCTGGGTTAGTACAACATACAAAGCCAAGACAAACCAATCATATTATAGCTTGGTGTGATGTGAAGTTTGGAGTGGTTAGAAAATCCTTGATGTAGCATTATGAGCGTTATTTAAGTGGACCAGAGCACTGCTCGAGTTGAAGGTTGAAAAGAAACTTGCTGAACTTGTTTTGAAGAAAGAGCAGGATACTAAGTCAGCAATAACAGAGATTGATATCAAGGGAATTTTCAGGACAATTTGGTCTGCTAGCTGCCATATGTGTTTGGCCTTTTTTTTTTTTTTTTTTGACAAAAGTGCCTTTGAGGCAGATAATAATTTAAGGGGATGATCATTGCATCTTTGCAACAGTAGCTCTGGTTTCTCTGAACCTTTCTGAGCAGACTCTTCTCCAGCACTTATTCCAACTTACATACCTTGGGAACAATAGGACAAGAAGAATGAGCAGTTCAAGTTCAAAAACCCCAAAAGTGTAGAAAGATAAGAAAGTGTGGTAAACACAATCACCCTGAACAGAGGAAATGAACAAATGAACTTACATTGTCTTTAGTTTGGTTCAATGACCCTAATAATATTAGATTAATTTTTTTAAAAAAGTTAACATTAAGAGTTGACGGCTTTTCTTTCTTTTATGACATAACTTCCCTCCCTGATATATATACATGGAAAAGGACTACGCACATTCTCAGATTTACCTGACATTGTTTTGACAGAAAATGATGAATGGCATCATTAGTAAATCACGTTACAGAAGCAAAATGAACCTAGCACCTTTTTTTCTTTAAAGGTGCAGTTACAGCAATTACTGCCAAATTACTTCTAAATTATAGCTTCCACAGCCACAATTGCCGGTGAACAATTGAGAGCAATGATTTTCTGGAGCCATTTTCATTTGTCTTCATGCCGAGGGCCTTCCCTCTACCCATGAATGCCTTGACTTCTAAAACCCCTTCCAGAAGTCAGTGATCAGATCCCAACACTGGGGAACAGGACACAAATGTTCCTTGCAGCTCAGCATTGCTGCTCTCTGATGTATGGAAGCTGATCAGCTAGATAATAAAATGGATCTTAGCCCTGCCGAGATTGAAACTGATCAGCTTTTGGTAGATGGTCACTACTTTTATGGTCATACTGTTTTATCTTGGCCTTATTTGAAAATAAAGGCCACAGGGGCAAATAGAGGCCACTTGAGGGATATATAAATGCCCACCAGCATCAAAATCTTATTTCTTCTTGCAGCTGGCCTTTTAATTAATAGTTTCCTCCTAGAGGTTTTTTTCCCTTCTTTTTAAAGTAAGTGGTCTCCTCTTCTTAGGTACTGTTCCTTTAATGATGGTTTTCTTCCCATTCATTTGCAGAGCCATCACATGCCTGGATCGCAAGGGTCAGGGTTAATTACTATTTCCCTTTTTGTCTCCAAAACAATTGCCTGTTAATTAATTTTATTTTATTTATTTATTTTTAAAAAAATGCATTGCCACATTGCCTTTCAGCTCTCTTTTCCATTTAAAAAAATGAACAAAAATATGAATGATCCATTGCTTTGGCTGCAAAGAGAAAACAATCTCTGTATGACCAAGGAGCTGCCACTCCCTCGGTCAACCTTGGGTGAAGAAAATACTGTGCAGCAGAAACTGTCCTTTGACTTCACAGAGAATGCCAAATGAGAAAAAGTCTTGATCATTTCCTCCTTTTCCACCTCTGCTTTGTATACAGTGAGATACCAGAGAGCTTGATGTTTGCCTTCATCTTGATATCTGATCATCAAAGAGAAGGACAAGGATAAATAAAGCAAAGCCAGTCTTTGGACAACACTTCTATCCCAGGAAGCAAAGAAAAAGCTAAACAGACTTCTTCTGTCACAGTGAAAAAAGTTATTGGTTTCCTTCTTTTCTGTCATTCAGTGGGTGGAAACATCAAAAACGTCATCAAAAAAGCAGAACAAAGAATGTTCTTTCTGCGCCAACTCAGAAAGCTCAAACTGCCCAAGGAGCTGCTGATACAGTTCTACAGAGGAATTATTGAGTCTGTCATCTGCACCTCTATAACTGTCTGGTTTGGTTCTACAACCCAACAAGACAGACACAGACTTCAGAGGATAATTAGAACTGCAGAAAAAACAATTTCTACCAACCTGCCTTCCATTGAGGAACTGTATACTGCACGAATCAAAAAGAGGGCTGTAAAAATATTTACAGACCCCTAGCATCCTGGACATAAACTGTTTCAACTCCTACTCTCAAAATGATGCTACAGAGCACTGCACATCAGAACAACTAGACAAAAGAACAGTTTTTTCCCCGAACTCCATCACTTGATGAATGTATTTTTTCTTTTATGTACATCGAGAACGTATGCACCAAGACAAATTCCTTGTGTGTCCAATCATACTTGGCCAATAAAGAATTCTATTTATTCTAATGAAACACTTGCAAGCCAACACCCAGAAAGCAGTTGGTACTCTTGGATTATCTGAATGGAAACTCAGACAAAAACATTCAGCTCAATTTCTCATTGTTAGTTTTCTTTGAATATTTTTTCATCCATTAGGAAAAGAGGCAATGAAGAAGGTTGGAAAGGGATGAGGGGACGGGTATCAAACAAACCAATCCTTCAACCCATGTGTAAGGAAGCCTTTGCATGTACATGAAGGGTCCCCAGAACTGATTTTGGATTGTGTAGATGGATGTTCAATTCTTTGCTGATGTCACAGTACCACAGTACCACTTGCTCAGACTGATCATTGTTCTTGAGAGGTTGGGCTCTACATATACAACTGTGACATGGGCAGGGCAGATATATGCATAGCAAATGGCTCATTTTTGCATCTAGACATACATGCATGTGAACTTTAAAATATAATAATCTGCTTTGAATTGCACATAATTCTATCCTAGTTTAAAGGGTTAAAAAAAATCAGCCTCAATAGAATTTCTCTTATGCAGTCTTAAAAATACATCCTATTATTTAGCCAATATATTCTGTTCTCTTTACTGTAGAGCTACTATGTTTGCAGACCATCTTCCTAGTGGAGAAATGTTCTATTCTACCCCAGCAGCCTTTTTATCTCTTGTCCTCTCTAGTTTCACAAGGGTATGATATTTCATAAGCACCTGGTGATTCAGTTAAAATAAGGAACCGGGTGCTTTTTACAGGCTAACATTCTTAAAAGCTTGGCATTCAGATACAAAACAGATGTTTAGTGTGCATCTCGGAGAGGGCAGGTTGTCTTTCCAGGAAATCTTACTGGTGCAGTCCCGCACATTCAATATTTTAGGTAAAATGGGAGAGAATTTTTTTAAAAAATAAAGTGGCAGTTTGCCTCTTAAATACATTTCTTCTTGAAGAACAGATCTGGATAGGGACGCTAAGGTTCGAGTGTTTAGAAGTGTTTGAATCAGACTTCTGCTGGAGGCTTATTGCTTATTAACAAATTTAATAAAGGAATTGCTGATTGATGCAAAACATCTGTCATGCAGAGATCATTTTAGATTTATCTGTGCCTTCTGGAGCCTAGATTTACCAATGCCCACTGTGTATCAGGCATGCAGCCCTCCAGAGCTCCGTTTTCGCTGGCAGAGGCACCGCGGGCTGGTTCTTCGCTGTTTCCAGGGCAGCCCCAAGGGCCAGATCTAAGTACCCTGTGGACTGGATACGCCCTCCGGGCCTTGAGTTTGACACCCCTGGGTTAGATGAAAAGGAATGAACATCCATGCATTTATTTGAAATGTGTCTGGACCAGGGGTGGGTTCTACTTATCTTTAATACTGGTTCGCATCGTGCCCATGCGCACTCTTCTGCGCATGCACAGATCATTTCTGATGATGTCCGGGTCAGTGGGGGAGCCTCCTGCCAGTCTTACTACTGGTTCTATAGAACCAGTCTGAACTGGGGGCAACCCACCACTGGTCTGGACCTGATTAATTCCACTTTAATATTTAGGAGTATTTTTAGCTAGACCATTCAAGTTATTGAATGGTCCAATAACTTATTAAGCCATTTTACATAGGAAGCTATCAGTCTTTTAAGGTAGGTCAGGTCAAAAGCAGGCACTGTATGGCATCCAGGAATACTACTTTATTTTTATAGGGTACATTAGTAAAATCTTCAGAGCTTACCCAAAACCTTCACCCTTCCTTATTAAGGGTAATAAGTGCCATTGAACTTAGACAGTCACTAAATGAATGGTTGTAAGTTGAGGAGTAACTGTAGATAAATACAAAGTATATTAAACATTTGTCTTTAAGGACAAATTAAACTAATAATTATAGTTGCATTTCTATATATGCTTTCCCAGCTGCATTTTAAAAAATCTTTTAAAACTAAATTTATACCAGAAAAAACAATTGTAAATTAAAAAATTATCTGATACTTGAATTATTTAATGTCCCATGTACAACAAAAACAACATTTTTGTGCCAGCTAGCTTGTCAGTAATGTAATGTCAGTAATGTTCTTTAGTAGACATCTCTACTAAAGCAGAGGGCTTAAGTGGTAAAGAGAGTTCCATCTTAATTAAATCCAATTTTAGATATTCTTCATCCTATTTTCTATCCATACTTTTTTCTATCCATACTTGTGTGCGATCACAGTTCCATTAAACCCAGGATATGTATCTTACATCCACAAATGCACTTCAGACCTGTTTCTCTAGGTTTAGAATATTCATTTTGCTGCTTATATTATCACTTGCATCTGTCAGTGAACTACACTGTTTCCCTAAAATAAGACTCAACTGGAAAATAACCCTAGTATGATTTTTTTCAGGATGGTCATAATATAAACCCTACCCCAAAAATAAGCCCAAGTTAAGATCGTCAGCCAGACGGATGCATTTAGTACCGTATTTTCCTAAAAGTAAGACCTAACTGGAAAATAAGCCCTAATGCGTCTTTTGGAGCAAAAATTAATATAAGACCCAGTCTTATTTTGTGGGAAACATGGTAGTATCCAGTCACTGACTTATTCACATCTTCCTGTTGATTAATTGAACATGGGGACAGCCAAAACCAAGTGATGAATGGGTTCCCTCTGATGGTGCAGATGGGGAATGATGACTATGGTGGCAAGCAGGCTCTTAGCACATTCTGGGAAGTGGCAGGTGGGCTCAAACACACACAAAGAAATGGACTGAGAGTTAAGCAGGCTCTCACCAACTGAATGCTGGCACATAGGAAGAGGCTATTTTAAGGGGCAAGCAGGCTCTGATCCATGAATGTGACAAGGCTGTAGTTCATCAGTCATCCATGACTGCACTTGAGGATCACTAAAATAGCTAGTTTTAGTGGCTAACTCCAACTGCATTTAGTTGGAGTTCAGAGATCAGCAAAGGAGAACCACATAGACTCCAGGAATGTTTGAGGATGATTTTTTTTTATTTTGTTTGTTTCTTTTTTACACTGTTAAAACTATTTGGAAATTCACTGTGAGTTTGTGTATTTAATCTCTCAAACTAACAGGAAGTTGTGATGCAATATTCTTGAATTTGATGTGGTTCCAACGACCATAAAAAGTAGTTTGGATCCACATATAAATTAAGTATCCGTCTCTTAACTAAATGTAGCATGCGGCTAATGTTGCTTCTTTTGGCAAAGTGAACACTTGGACAGCATGGACAATCAGTTACTCACCTTGTTGACTGACAATGATTTTCAGGAGTTAGAATTGTTGCTCTGTGGGCTTTCAGCAGCCCGTGTCACAATCTGGCATTCTGACAAAATTCTAAAACTGTTGAGAATCTTCTGATCTACAATTGTTAGTTGACTTAATGCAACTCTTACTCAATAAGTCATTAAAAGTTTTTTTTTTAAAAAAAATAGTGCCTTGAGGCAACAGTTGAATAGCTTTTTAGTACTGCATACTTACAACCTGTAGAACATACAATCAAGTTCTTTGTATAAGGTGGCTTTCCCTGCTCTTATATATTATCTATTTTCTTTCCCAGTTTAGCATCTCCAAAAGCACTTGATTTGGGTAAACCAGCTTAAAGGGAAAAGGTGGAACTATCTAGGTTTTGTTCTACAGCAGAAGTGGGGAATGGTGGCCCTTTTATGATTTGTGGACTCTAACTCCCAGAATTCCTGAGTCAACCATTCTGGCTCAGGAATTCTGGGAGTTGAAGTCATAAAGGGACCATTATTCCCCACCTCTGTTCTAGAGGAAGGGGATTTCTTACTCTGCCTCACCCAGATTCCAGATGTGAAGGACAACTGCCTATTCAAGAATAGGATTATCTACTATTCTAGCTCTCTGAGTCAATGTAAAATTTTCACCTGGGAAAATATCTATTGAGCTCCTAAAAACTGAAGTAGGGGAGATGTTAGGATGGAGATCCCAGGGAGGGTTTTGGCAGGCTGGGGTGAGTGTTGATGATGGATCCAGCTATACATTTTCCCTGCAATGTGAGGTATTTTTTGCATTCATCTGCAGACTTTCAGTTTTTCTAAGTGGTAGGTGAAGCGAGAAGGGGGAAAAAAGATAACTCCTTAAGACCAACTACTTTTCTATGTGCAGAAACCAATATTAAACATCACCTTAAAGCATCTCTCTGAACCCACAAAAAGGTATCCATTCCTATAATGATGGATCTCAAAACAATATTGAAAATATTACATATAAAATTGGACAACATGGTTGGATTTGAACAATGTTCTTAATATTGGAAGGATTAGAGTTTCCCTGCAAAGATAAATTCCACTCAGTGAAGCAGAGGAGTCTTAGGCTTAACCCTGAAAAGCTTGGCATAGCAATAGCACTTAGACTTATATATCACTTCACTGTGCTTTAAAGCCCTCTCTGAGCAGCTTACAGAGTCAGCATGTTGCCCCCCACCAATCTGGGTCCTCATTTTACTGAGCTCAGAAGGATAGAAGACTGAGTCAACCTTGAGCCAGTGAAAATTGAACAGCTAGCAGGTGGCAGAATAAGCCTGCAATAGTGCATTCTAACCACTGCATCACCAGGGCATTGTTGTTGGTTCATCTGTCCCTATATGTGTTTCTCTTTGTGCGTACATATAAAATACAGTCCACCAGCATGACCTAACAAGCTGATTCTAAACCCAGTCAATAAGGAAAGTAGTTTGATAGAGAGACTGGCTGAAAAATTCACTGCCAAGGTCAGGCAGCAGAGCAAAGGGCATACCTTTCAAAACCCCAAGCCATGCCTATTGTTATCTGATAGACAATTGAGAAAGGGGCCACCACATTTTTCTGAATTTTTCTTGATGCTTCCTCGTATAAGATATCAGGGAATGGGCTGTAAAGCAGGGTTGCTTATATCAGTTATAACCCAGAATTACAAAGCTGGTATCCATAAAGCTGCACTCATAAGAAACTGAGATTGATGAACGATGCTAATGCTAGCTTTCAAAGGAGCACTCAATGTAACTCTCCAGATACTTAATTCTTTATTCAGTTGACTCTCAGACATGACTTAGTAGAATAAAATTTTTATAGCAGACAAGAATGAGGTCTTCTGTGCAACAGTTGATAGCCTATAGCCTACTGCAGAGCAAAGCATTTAAGATCTTGACCTATACAGCTGGGTTTAAACCAGTGGTGAAATCCAAATTTTTTTACTACAGGTTCTGTGGGGATGGTTTGGTGGGCGTGGCAGGGGAAGCATACTGCAAAATCTCTATTCCCACCCCACTCCAGGGGAAGGATACTGCAAAATTCCCATTCCCATTCCCTCCCGCACTCATGGGGATAGGATATTGCAAAACTCCATTCCCACCCCACTCAGGGGCCAGCCAGAGGTGGTATTTGCCGGTTCTCCAAAACTACTCAAAATGTCTGCTACCTGTTTTCTGAACTGCTCAAAATTTCTGCTACTGGTTCTCCAGAACCTTGTCAGAAACTCTATGTTTTTTTGCCAACCTTTCCAAGACAGTAGTCACATAGTAGTATAAATCACTGAGCTAGACGATGGGATTCTCTTCATTGTATCGTTCCTTGCAGAGAGTATCAGGATTCTTGCATTGAACAGGAAGGGGGCCTGATAATCCCTTCCAACGCTAGCCTTTTTCTGATTCTATGGCATGACCAAGATTTCTTTGTTCCCTTAAATGGCAATTCTTAGTCAAGGTTGTGAGACTGTATGCACCTGAGCAGCCAAAGCTATAAGACTAGGTTATTATTATTATTATAGCATACCTACGCATACCAACTAAAGACTTTAAAAAAATGCAAAACACATTGAGCATAGACTGGAGCCTAAGAGAAAATTATTTTTGTTTGTGCTATATGATTGACTCAAAATGTTTTATATAAAAAGAAAATAGTATACAGCCTGTTTTCTGCCAATATGGAGCTGATTCCATGTTGGAAGTTCTGCTGTCAATTAAGCTTCACTAGTATATTTATGAATATGCAGAGCAGTAGGATTGTGTACGTTTTTATATATTATTTACAGAAGGTTGCCATGCCTGCTGAAGAATTGCTGAGTGGAAGCAGTAACTGGCATATGTTCTGGATTGAGCAATGTCAGCCTCTCCCCACCCACCAGTCACCACCAGAGGCATTGAAATTTAGTCTGCATGTCCTTTACTTTAGAGTTGTTCTACTCTTTTGAATCCTCTGACTCCAGAGTTGGGAATGTGAGGATCAGAGCCCTACATTCTCTTGATGCAACCCATTTAAAGTTTACAAGTATAACTGTTCTATCTCTTCCAGGAAGGGAAATTAAAGAGCAAAGGAAGAATGTGACTGTTCACTTCTTTTAGTTTATGATGTACAATAAGATGCAGGCTTCTCCTAGTCCCTTGGGGCAAGTCACAAACACAGATTAGCAAAGCATTGATTTAATTGTCTCTTCCCCCAGGAAAACTGCAGCATGCCTGTTTAAAGTTAACCTTAACAAGGATTCTTATATCAAAGAAGCATCACCCCTACATTTACAGAGTACTTTTGAAATATTTTACAGATGGATCAAAAAGGGCAAACTAATGTTGTTTAATCAGCTCTCTGACTTTTGAAGTTTCTTTCACACAACTGAGATTGTAGCTAGATGTTTGTCTCAAATGTCAGAGTCTGTAGTATGCTTTTCAGAAATAGTGTTATACGTGCACAATATTTGGTATTTGTGATAAAAGTCGTTCTCGTAGGAGGTGGCAGGGGATGGGTGGGCTGGGCAAGAGGTGAATGTGCGTTGGGATATCGCAATGCAAACTTTGTCCCTTATATTTGTGTGTATACCACAGTGCAGGTACAAAAGGCTAAAGTTTGCATCACGACATCATGACACACCTTTCTACATTTTTGTCATTGTGGTTAGGAACAGATACCGATGATTCCACATTCTTGGAAAGGCTCAGAAGCTTAGCATAATAGCCCATTTGGTATTGTGGATGAATATCGTTTAACTCCAATGCCTTTTCTCAATCTGATCAAATCTCTTTTTAAATACAGCACTCTAAACTCTGGAACTATACTACTATCCCAGTTTGGTTGATAGCCATAATAGGCCAGATCAATAGCATATATTATTCCTGTAATGGAACAAAATCTTTGAACCAGATTTAGATTAATCCAAAGGAGAACTGGGGTGTAGCAGTAGATTATTAAACTTTTTAAAATACTCATGCTAATGGAATGCAACTGTATTTTTTAAAAGTCTCTCTCACACAAACATACATGCATATCAAGGGAGAGGTATTGGAGCTAACTAGTTGTTGGAATGACTGTTTATTCTGGGACCAGTAACTTTTATATTAATTTTTAAGGTGGATTTATCTTTGAGAGAAGCTGTTAATGAGAGATAGAGAGTCACCTATCAGGAATGTTGCATCAATTTAATTCCTGTATCAGCATGTTGATTGCAGGACCTTTAAAATACCTTTTAAATAGATGATCTTATAACTAACTTCCACCTTAGTTCCATTTTTGTACCCACAATTCATTCTCATTTGGATTCTTATGACCTGCATTTCTTTAAAAAAAAACCCAAAACTTTATTTCCTTCCTAAAGAATATTATACTGTAAACATTTTGCTCTCCTTTCTGGGTATTTTTTAAATCAATTAAAATTGACTTTGGTGGGGAGGCTTTCTCCTTTACTTTTATTAATCTTGAATTAGGCCAGGATAATTTTAGAGTATTTTATTTATTTTTATCCCACCATTATTATTATTAAAATAACTTAAGGCAGAAAAACATACTTAATAGTCCTTCCTCCTCCAATTTTCTCTACTATAACAATCCTGTGAGATGGAATAGAATAGAATAGAATTTTTTATTGGCCAAGTGTGATCCAGCACACAAAGAATTTGTCTTTGGTGCATATGCTCTCAGTGTACATAAAAGAAAAGATACGTTGATGAAGAATCATAAGGTACAACACTTAATGATAGTCATAGGGTACAAATAAGCAATCAGGAAACAATATCAATATAAATTGGGCTGTTACCAATCTGTTTTCATACCAAAGGCAGGACTAGAAGTCACAGTCTCCCAGTTTCTAGCCTGGTGCCTTAACCACTGGGTGAAGTAGAAAAGATATTGCTAGATGCTAGAGTGGTCAGTGTAACCAAAACACAATGTAATTATTCTCTTCTGTTGGTACTACAGTACATACGGACATCAAACATGTAATTATTTAGTGAAAGGGTATGATATCTGATTGGCTTGGAAAATTTTTCAGTTATGTGCACTTTTGTGTTGCAGTTATGTAATTCTTAATATTTGTACTAATTTGCAAATTTACTAATTTGCTTAATAAATGCATCACACTCAAATTTGGTCCTGTTCCAAAGAATATTTTTAAAAATTTAAGTCTAAACATTATTTCTGACTTTTGAGAAATCCTTAGGAATTAGGAAATCTATTCCTCAAATAGCACTAAAACAGTACATAAATCTACTGTGTGGATGCTAAATTTCAGTTACATAATTGTTCCACATACATATAATATCTGTTTTGGGGTTGGAGGGAGCATGTTAAGACTTGCATCATGATGATACTGTATGGTGTAAAATAATGTGGACAGCATGTCACAAATTATATAGTCCTGCCATTTTTATGACATCAAGACACATGTGTCGCTTTAATGTTATCATGCCT